CCATCTTCCTCTTTTGTGAGATGACTGTCCTGGCAGGATTTCCATCACTGCCACCAACCACCAGAATGGTAGAACCAGGTTAATCAGTGCTCAGTATACTTCAGTGCAAGACATCAAAACACCGCAGATAGGAATCTATGAAACCAAAGTTGAACCAGGCTGTTGTATGTTACTGTGGATACTGGCAAACAGGATATACTATTTTAAGCTAAGACTATCTAGTTCATAACTTTTTTTTAAAGTCATTTTTATTAGATGTCTTCTGCAGTCGTTGTTCTTGGCCTGAAACTGCTTTTCTGCCGAGTTAGTTCTCCCTTTTGTGTGCTTTGAACACTTAATGCTTTGTTCCTTTCGTACTCTTACCAATGTACAAGCTGTTTTCCTGAAAGTTTTTTCCTTTTTTTATAATTCAAAAGGATAAGCTTTAAGCCTTACAAATTTATGGTGCTGGGGAGCTTACCTGTATGAGCATTTGAAGTTGCGTGGTGGGAACGGTATAGTGGTTCAGTAATGTGAAATAATTAGAGAAACTGGCTCTAATCTAAACACCAGTGGGGCTGCTGCTTATTGTGCTGTGCTTCCAGCTGTCTCATAGGTCTCATAAATGCATACCAAGGTGTGGGAAGAATTGTTAGATGTTCCTTTGTTTTGTTCAAATAGACTGAACATGATTCGGGGAAAACAAGTGTGCTGTCAGACTCTGAAAAAGAGCAAGATGGCATCCGGAGTATTTCTTTTTCAGATCTAGCTGCTGGATACACCTATTAAGCCTTGTTGGACTGTTTGATTTACAGGAGTTTGCACAATTAGTTTGGTGTGGTGCACACATGCCTACCTTCTCAGTCTCCATACCACTGCTTTTTTATTATGATTTTTTAAGTAAGGAAAGTTTTATTTTTAAAATGTCCTTAATGCCTTTACACATTTTAAAGCTTTTTAGCAGAACGATTAATCTTTTTAAGACTTGTGTCCTGTGAACAACCTTGTCTAACTTCTGCATCCTTGAATAGCTTCCTCTCGTTTCAAGGGTTAGTTCATAGTAAGCAGTTGTCATCTACTTGAGCTTGTTCCTAAGCAGTTGTAAAATATAGCCAAACTCTGTTTCCCTATGTAATTTTGCATAGCTTAGCTGTTCTCACTGGCTCAAAGATGACCCCTCAGGTCAGATATTATTTCAGTATGCCAGTGACTCCTCTAGCAAACTAATGAAAGCATATAGAATAAAAAATAATGGTGAATTACCGATTAACCAGGACACCGATAAAGACCAAGGATGTGATGTGTAATGGTGAACACTTAATATTTTGGTAGGTCAGACGAGTACCAGGTTCCAGTGGTCACCTCCATAAAACAGAAGATGGGGACTGGGAATGGAGTGATGATGAAATGGATGAGAAGAGCGAGGAAGGCAAAGCTGCTGTTTCTCAGGAAAAGGTAGCTTTTCTTTGTGCCAAGACATTTACACTCTGCAAGTATTCTGCCTTAATGTTAATCATTAGTATTTCTGGATCTTTAATACATAAAGCTGCATAGCTCATATCTCACTGCATTTGTTTTCCAGTCACGAAGAGTGAAAGAAGAGAACACAGAGGTAAAAATGTCTTTATTAATTTTTTTTCTTCTAAATGTGTAAGTGAAGGGATTTCTTTTTCATTTCTGCTGTTAAAAATGTGAATTGAGGCCGGAGTGGTGTTCTGCAGCCTTGTATGGCGAGTACTTATGAGGATAGAGCTGTATGCAGTTAGGCCTGTAACAATTACCTTGAGCACACACTGGGTGAAATGGAAGGGAAATTTTAAGTCGTGTTACGTTCGTGCCCAGGAGGATTGGTTAAGATAGGTAATTTGGCTGTTTTTAATGAATCTTCATAACTGGATCACAGTAATTGCTGTCTTTTTGTCAGGGTAATGATGGCTGTTTCGGAATAGCCAGAAGATCTCCAAATAATTTTTCATTCTTAGGATTTCTATCACAATATGTAAATGTAATTAAAATGTTTCATCCCGTATACAGTAAACTAGTTCAGTACTGTGGCATAGTAGATTAATTCAGAGGAATAAAATACCATATTGAGTTTCAAGGCCTTGTGCTGAGAGTGCGGGAAGCATTGCTGCTATAAATAATTGCTTAATAGGGTTACTGGATTACAGCCGAAGTACTCTTTTTAAAATGTCTGCTCCTTGGGTGAGTGACACTCGCCACTTCACCTGCAATTTCTGATTGAAAATTCTCTGATTTTCATTGTTGTCATAGAAATCTTCTAAAAGACTAACAGCTTCCTGCCAGGTCTGGTCCTGTTAGCTCCTGTGATGACCCCAGTCTTTCCATTGCAGAGCTAGTTTACACAGCACTTCAGCAGCTGAGATGTCTTATGTAAGCTGAGTATGAAAAAAAAAAAAAAGGACTTTTGCCAGTCTTTTTATGTCTTAGAAATTGAGAGTTCTGCAGTTTTTGACAGTTTATAAAGGTAACTTTTTTATTGTGAGTCATTTAGTTTATGAAGGAGAAAAAAAGCCTCTGCTTGAAGTCTTCTGTTGATTTTTTTGTTTTCCTAAATGCTCCAAAAGATGATTTGGAACTGAGACTAGTGCAGTTTGTCATTGTTGGTGTGTGCCTGTTGGTCTTTGGGCTGCATATTCCTATACACTGAGATAACAGGTGTGTTAGATGCAGAAATAATAGTAGTAGTTTGTATGAATGGAAGAAACTTAATTGAAGTAGAAAAAAATCTAATCCCCTTTTAGTGATTAAATAATTTTTCCAAATATTCATTAATATTTCGTTTAAAATACACAGATAATAAAATAAAAGTCTTGTGTAACACTTCTAAAGTAACTTCAATGTGAAAAACTGTTGGAAAATAATCAAATGAGATTTATTATGCAAGTCTTTATTTTGGGAGGACTTCACTGTAACCTTTGAACGGGCTTCTGTGAGTGGTGACAGTATGCGAAGCTGGTTATAAAATCATAGTAGGGTAGAGAACCCTGAGGTGCTCTGTGTTTAGGTTATAGTTTTGTTTGAAACTTCATATAAATGTTATTTGAGGACTGGAGAGGGTATCACAGTGTGAGGGAGGAGTGATAGTGTGTAAGTTATTCATATTCCTGATTTTTCTCGGTGAAAGACATTCTCCAAGCTGTGATGCCTGCTTTGATATGCTACTAGTTCTTTGCAGACAGATAGATGCAAGGCTTCCTTAACAACCAAAACTGTTACACAAAAATAACGTGAGTAGTAGCTTGGTATTCTCACTGTGTACGTATTTAGTAGGTTATTGGAGCTTTGATGCAAGGTGGATTAAAAGCTCTCACATTCAGTGCTTTAATGCAGGCCTTATCATTTGTATTTCTGTAATTGAAATGTGGCTGGTTTGCTGGTATCAGCTATGTTTTAGACTGTATTACTGAAAGTGTTTAAAAGGTTTTTGAGAGTTAGAAGATGTGTAAAATATTCTGTGCTAACTTCAAACTGTTAGCATGACAAGTATTTTGGGATATCTTTTTCTTTTTTCTCCTTTGGCATCCATTATAAGCCTTTTTGCTTTTTTCCTTTATAGTCTCAGCCTGCTGTTAGTGATGAATATAGTGAAGTTCCATGTGCAGTGAATCTTGTCTTAAGATTAAGGTAAGAGAGTCTTCTATTTATTTTAACATTCTTTTTTAGTTGGCTGTATTATTCTTGATCTCCCTCATTACTTTCATAATATTAACATAAAATAAGTGTTAACTTCTTTAATCTCCCAGTATGACCAGTATGAATAGTGTTTCTGTGACTAATTGCTGTCTTTTAATTGCTTACTGAAATAGTGTAAAACGAAAAGCAGAATATGAATGTGGCTTCAGGCTAAGTGTACCCTTCATTAAGTATTTTCTTTCTTTTTTTTCCTTGCAATGCAAGATCACAGTGAGAGATTTTTAATGAGTTTCTTTCACACTTCAGCAGTCAGCCTCTGACAGAAATAAACCATAGCTGTATTACAAGTTGCCTACTCAAAATGTTTTTCACTGGCAAGTTTGATCAGCCGCTGTGGAGAAGTGACAGATATTTTAGAAAATGGATACAAATATGTTGTCTGACTTAAATTTATACATAGTTAAAATGAGTCAGATTACCTTTAATTAAAATCAGTTTATAACTAAGATTTGAATTGCTTAATTAGATGGTCTAGTTCTTGAATAAAAGTATTTTTTCATAAGAAGCATTGATAACTTTTTATGTATTTACAGCCATTTTCCTTAAATGGCTAACTTAGTTAAAAAACTTACTGCCACTCACTTTAAAATGTGTTTATGTCCAGTTTGTATCGACAGGATATCTATGAGAGGTTGTAAACTCTTACTTACTGCTATGGGGAACAGTAAAATGATACGGGTTTTGTATGCTAACAAAAAGTCATGCAGAGAAATATTTACAAAATTACAACCAGTACGTTAGAGACAAATAGCAGACTTAGCATAACAAGTAGCTTTAAAACAGTATCATGAAAACCTGTTAGTAATCAGAAAAAAAAAATCTACACAGAATGAGTGCCAAGTTCCAAAATCTATTATCTTCCCTTTTCTTTGACTATTTTTCTAGTGACAGCTGCAAAAAATTGTGTGGCTGCCAAAAGTTGTTTACTGAAGGGAAGAGTAATAAATTTTACTGTAGGGAGAGAAAAGACTTGGAGATTATTTGGAATCGGTTTAGTTGTCCAATTTACATAACTGCCCAGTTATGCTATCAATATTCTTTCATCTCTCTGCTGACAGACAGGTAGATGAAACCATTTACAAAACAGACCAATTTATACTGCTATGTGGATGTACTAGTGAGGTGCTCTGGGTATTTTTAAATTACGATGAAACCTATAGAGTGATTAGCTTTTACCCAGTTACTTGCAGTGTTGGCATACCCACAGGGCAAACATTTTAGTCCTGCAAGTACAGTGAAATGTCAGGGATTATGCTTTCAATTTTCTGCAGCTCTCAAGCTAGAAGTGAATGAAGATTGATCCTAGGAGACTTGAATTTCCAAACTCTTATTTGCACTGTGATCTTTTGTTCTTCTTAAGAACCCTCTTAATTCATGGGTGAAAAAATTGCCTCCCCCTCCTCCCCCTAAAAGCAAGTCTGTAGTAACTAGACTAATGTGTTACAATTATGACGGTTTAGATTGTTATTGGTAGAGAGGGAAGAAACATGAATTTCAATTTTAGGAACAAGAAAGTTTCTTTAAACAAAACAAAAGTGTCTTGAACAGCAGATATACTCTGAGGTCTGGGAACACTTGGCAGTGTCTTGGGAAAAACCAAAAATCTGATGCATAATTTTGCAGGGGGGATTCTCTTAGTTGAAGATGACTTACTTTTGAGAGGAGAATGCTCTGCGGTGCAAACTCTGGGCCCCATGTGAGCTCTGGCTGTGTCCTGTCTCAGTGGCAGGAGGTGAGCTGAGTTACCGTCCTGGTTTCAGCTGGGACAGAGTTAGTTTCTTTTTAGCAGCTAGAAGAGCTCCATGTTTTGGATTTAGTGTGGGATTTGTTATGAGAAGAAGGTTGATAACACACTGATGTTTATAGTTGAGGCTGAGACGTGAAGGACTTTTCAGCTTCCCATATTTTGCCAGTGTCCAGGTGCAGGGCAGGCTGTGGGGGAGCATGGCTGCGGAATAGGGCCCACAACTCCTAGTTTAGGATTTGGGCTTAGCCTTAAGGTTGAGGCCCAAATTGACCAATGGAATATTCCATATCACGCAGTGTCATGCTCAGTATATAGAAGAGGGTTGGCCAGGAAGTTTGGATTCTGGGATTTTCTTGGATCTCTTGCTCTTTCGAGTGCTATATCTCTCTTGCTCCCTTTTCAAATCTCTCTTTTCGGGCCTCTCACTCTTCCTGGATTGCTGTTTCAGGACTTCTCTGTTTTGAGATCCCTTGCTGGGACGGGACAGGTGTTGGTCGCTGGGTGGTGAGCAATTACACTGTGCATCACTTGTTTGTATATTTTATTATCATGGTATTATTTTTATCATTGTTACTTTTAATTGTATTTCAGTTATTAAACTGTTCTTGTCTCAACTCATGAGTCTCTTTCCC